TTTGTATTCTCATTATTAATTCTAATTATTTTAATGTAAGAATAAACAGACAGATAAAGCAAAAATTATACCCACAAAACAAGAATAAAGTTATTAAAAGGAGTAAGATGGACACTGTTGAATAAACAATTCAATACGGCTATAAAGCAGAATGGATGCAGGAAGAAAAGCAAGATAAACTGAGGAATTTTCACAGAACAAAGTCAAAAACAAAGATGAATACAGTCACTGGCACTTGCCCAAGGATTGGGGGTGGGGAGATGAATACAGAAATTATTTTTTAGAAAGTTAGAAGACATGCTGGGTGCAATGACGCACGCCTATAACCCCAGCACTTTGGGAGGTGGAGAGGGGCAGATGACCTGAGGTCAGGAGTTTGAGACCAGCCTGGCCAACATGGTAAAACCCCCTCACTACTAAAAATACAAACATTAGCCGGGCGTGGTGGCGGCTGCCTATAATCCCAGCTACTCAGGAGGCTAAGGCAGGAGGATCCCTTGAACTCACAAGGCAGAGGTTGCAGTGAGCCGAGATGGCACCACTTGCACGCACTCCAGCCTGGCTGAGGCGAGACTCCATCTTAAAAAAAAAAAAGAAGGCATGGAAAGAGATCCTGAAGTTTCAACATGGATCCAGGAATTCCAGAAAGCATCAAGAGAATGGAGAAAAGATATGCTGAACAAGTAACAGCTAAGAATTTCCAAAACCAAAAATATGAATTGTCCGACTTAAAGGGCCCAACTGTTTATGTTTTCAAAACTCACATCCAGAAATATTACAGTAAGTTTCAGTACATTAAGAGTTTCTCTTAGAGGACTCAAAGTTTGTCACATATGAAACAATTTATATTACAGGATATATTCTAGAGGAAAAACAGAGTATTTACAAAAAAAAATAGTGGTACACAAAAAGCGAGTTAGCCAGAAAAGGGGAGGAGGGGTATTATATACATAGATAGTAAAAACGCTTACAATCGAATAAAAAATTCAAATATCGACTGGGCACAGTGGCTCATGTCTGTAAGTCCAGCATTTTGGGAGGTCAAGGTGAAAGGATTGCTTGGGTCCAGGAGTTTGAGACCAGCCTGGGCAACATGGTGAAACCCTATCTCTACAAAATATACAAAAACTAGCTAGGTATGGTGGTGCGTGTCTGTGGTCCCAGCTACTGGGGTTGCTGAAATGGAAAGATTGCTTGAACCCAGGAGGTCAAGGCTGTACTGAGCCGTGATCTCACCACTGCACTCCAGCCTGGGTGACAAAGTGAGACCCTGTCTCAAAAAGAAAAGAAAAGAAAAGAAAAAAAAAAAATCAAACATCAACTTATCAAGGTGATAAGGAAAAGGAAAGGACAAAGAAAAAATTTATGCTACAGTTTTTGTCTTATACAGAGGATGGATTAAAACTTCAAGTAAGTATTATAAACTTTTATACAGTTTTAAGTATGCACACACAAATTGTAAAAGTGACTAGAAAAACTGAAATAGAATACATATATAACTTTGAAATTATTCAAGAAAAAGGAAAATCTGATGAAGCCAACAGAATAAGTGAGCAGAAAACATAATATAAAGCACAACTTAAAATGACAGTAATTTAATCTAAACATTAATTATAAAACATGAATATGTTAATCTCAGATATTAAAAGATAATAGTTTTTCCATTCAGATTCTTTTAAACATCACCTACATAGTACTTACAAAAGATACTCCTAAAACCAAATAACCCAGAAAGGTTGAATATTTAAAAAATGGAAAAGATACATCAGTCAAATGCTTTAAAAAAAAAAAAAAAAAGTATAGCAGTGCTAACAGCAGACAACACAAAATATAATGTGAAAATCATTAAATGAGACAAAAAGATATTGCATATTGATTTCAAAGACACTGTTTAAAGACTGAATTAAATCTTTTAGGTACCAATAGCTTATCTACAGAAACTACAAGGAGAAACTGAAACATTCACATACTCAGAAGTTTCCCAGA